TGTGGGTCCAGGAAACACACGGATCTAGATTGTTGGAAGCGTCTGATGTGTGAAAAGTGTGGGAAAAGAGGTCGCACTACGGATCGCTGTCCGTATGCGTGTCGTGGATGCGGGGACGTCCACGAAGCATGAGAATGTCCCATCGAGGAATTCTACAATCAGATCCGCAAATGATACGATCCGACTCATCACACGCCGGGCTGTTCCCCGAACAAGTCGAGAAGATGTTAAACTAGGACGCTCGCCGTGGTGGAATCCGGTACGAGCCGAGCGTTCTAGATATTGCATCTACGCCTATGTGAACAAGGCGACGGCAGATCGAGGTAGGAATGAGTCGGACCTACGCGGTAATACATGTAATTTGTATTCGTACACCGCCAAGATCGCAGTCTTCCCCAGACGGATCAGCGAATTCAGCTGATCTAATGCAGAAGTTGCCTTAGATCTCAAAAGAGGGGAGTCCCGGGGTTATTGGAAACGTCATTCCCCGGGCAAATGGTTCCGCCAAGCCAAGATCTCGGGAAGGATCAATCACGGGAGAGCGATCCTCGTCCTAGATACTGGTGCTGATGTATCAATCTTGGATACCACCTTTGCTCGTAAGGTGGGATGCAATTTTGACACTAGTCAGAGACAGGAATGTGTGGGAATTGGTGATAACGTATATACTACGGAAGCAAGAACCAAGATCAAGATCACCCTGGCGGGATATCTGGTGTAATTTTTTGACATCTGGATCAGAGATCTCTCAGGACAGAACGCGATCCTGGGCATGGATTTTATGGTCCCAGTTGGTGTACGGATGGACGGATCGATGCGACTACCTGACGAAGTTGGAATACCGCTTAATGGTCGTAAGGGACTGTATGGCGAGAAGGTGAGATCGGTGATTCTCTACGAATCCCGGTCGGCCGGTCGGAAGAAACAGCGGCTAAAATTGTCGTCCACTGAGAAACTGTGGGTGACCAGAGGGGAACGATGGGTACCGACCGTGTCGGAAGGCCTCGGTCGCATCCGCTACCTGGTGATCTCGAACGTTGGCGAAGAGATCCTACGGCTCGACCACCGTCTGGACGTCGGTATGATACTCGATCAGGACAAAGTACCCCGATCCCCATGGTTCGTATCTGTCGGGTCACATCGATACCGGGAATGGCAGAAGCTGGCATTGGAATCGACGGTAGATACTAGATCGGGGCCCCCTGAATTCATGGAGGGCCCCGTGGAGCCGACAGACCATCGTATCCCACACCACGATCAATACTTCGTCGGGCGGGATCTGCTGCTATTGACAGAGATCGAACGTTGGTATCGACCCTAGAATCTCGATCGAGGGCGCGAATCGCCGACGCGAACCAGATCGAGGCTGAATTTCTCGATCCAGAAAGGGGACGTCCATCTACGCCAACGACTAGCCCCGATGCCGATAGATACCTGAGCGGCGATGCTGAGCGCGGCGGAATAAGTGAGAGCATGCCAGATCAGGCCACCGATCGGACGGACACCAATGATGCTAGGACGGAAAATCAGACTGACGTCGGGCATACCGAGCCGAAAACGGGAAATCTGAACTGTCAAACTCAGATCAAGCTCGTTACCGGCAAAGTCTCCGGTGTTAAATCCCCGATCCACCCGCCTGAGGTCGTCGACCTACGAGATCCTCTGGCAGCGACCACCCCACAAGATGCCGAGGACGAGGATGGTATATATTCCCACGAGAGTGATGATCTCTCAGCTGAAGAGCTCGAAGGAAACCTCGCTGTCCTCCCCGAAATCCCGATCTCGACGACCGCGATAGTCAGCATCGAGGATCTGCAGGTTGGAGACTCCGGATCGGCTACACCCGAAGAGATCGAGAGACTCCGTCAGATCATTTGGAAGAAACGACACCTCCTGATCGGAAAAGAGAACGCCTTACCCCCGGCGGTCAAGGACGTCGTGTATGACTTCGATGTAAGAAATGCGAAACTGATCGCACTGCAAACCCGGAAAGTACCCACGCAGTTTTTGAGAAAAAGTCTCAGGCCTGATCGAGGGCCTCCTGGCAGCCGAGATCATCCGACCCTCGACATCGCCATGGGCCTCACCGATCGTGATTGTTCGCAAGAGCAACGGTGTGGATATCAGGTTGTGCATCGACTACAAGTTGGTAAACAACCTCACGAGGTTGATGGTCTACCCTATGCCCCTGATCACCGATCTGCTAGAAGTTCTTGATGAAGCACTATGGTACTGTGCGCTGGATATGGCCAGTGGCTTCTGGGTCGTGCCCATGACAGATCAGGCTCGCGAGAACTCAGCATTTATCACCCCCTTTGGATTATTCGAATGGAGTTGCATGTCTTTGGCCTAAAGAATGCCCCGCAGATTTATCAACGCCTCGTAGGCTGTATGGATTTCTGAAGATCTCGTGATCTATCGACGCCGGGGCTACAACGGATGTATTCCAGACAGGGATCGCGGACGATCCTGATCGCCAGTCAGTGTTGGGACGGAGATCATACATTGACGTCATCATGATCGCAGTGGAATCGTGGGATCAAATGTGCTGATAAGTGGAAGATATGTTGAAGGCTTGCGATAAGTGGAATTTGTCTATCAGTGTAGCCAAGAGCTTTTGGGGCATGGATAAGGTGGTATATCTTGGACACCGAGTGTCGACCGGAGGTCTGGAGGCGAACCCGAAAGACCTGAAATCTCTAACCGATCTGCCATTCCCCGGATCACTTCGATCTATGCAGTCATTCCTGGGTAGTTTGAATTACTGCAGCCGATTCATTGAAGATTACGCTATTTATGCTTCGGTGCTCTACGAATTACGTAAGGTGAAGTTTGCAGAAGTGGAGAAACGATCGGATCTGAGGGAGATCATGGACCGGAACGACCCGATTCTTCAAGATCTCGGCCCTCCGGAACTGAAGTGGACGGAACCAGTGGATGAGAGGTGGATCAGAGCACACTTCACCGCCTTGAAAACCAAGATCGCGACTACCCCAACCCTCCGCCATTTCGACGAGACGAGAACGCAGGTAGTTATCGTATATGGCAGCGATTGGGCGATATCCGCCTCGTTGGCGCAAGAACACGACGGGATCTATCACCCGGTGGCGTTCGTCAGTCGTACCTTGAAGACGAACGAATTGAATTTCAATGTGACCGAGAAGTAGGTGTTGGCATTGCTAATGGTCCGCCCACCTGGCCCCGTGGACGCTCGAGATCACGAAGTGCACGAAGGGCGAGGACGAAATAATGGGGGCGATCGCTGCCAGCATCACACCGAGGGCGAAGATAGACGATCCTCTGATCGAAATCGCTCCCCCGAAGGAACCTAAACGCCGGATCCAAGCACCGATACCCAGCGTAGATCCGGAAGAGGAATTATGAGTGATCAGCTTTGATGGATCGGCTCGAGTGAAGCGTGGCGGAGGCGCGTTCAGTGCGATCGTGTGAAGTTTGCCAGGATGGGAGGTGGTCAAAGCCAGATCGGGCTATCTCGAGAGCCTCACCGTCAACGAAGCAGAATATAACGGCCTGATCCTGGGACGCTAGAGGACCTAGATCACAAACGCCTAGTGGTCTGCGGTGATTCCAACTTGGTGATCCGACAAGTACGGGGCGAGATCGATTGCAAAGCACCCGGACTGACGCTACTGAAGCGGAAGGCCCTCGATCGCCTCAACAAAATTGAGAGATGATGCACTAGTGCATGTCAAGAGAGACTGAAACGGAAGGGTCGACAGTCTAGCGAGTGCCGCTTTACAACGACAAGGCGGGATCGAGGTCCAGAAGATGCCCGGGTACCAGGATCCGGTCACTCTGAACCGGTTAGACGAAATCTTGATTCCCAGGGCCGAGAACCCAGTGTTGCGAGTTGTAGCGGTTACCACTCGAGGCGCTCAGGTAAGATCACCTACGGCTGTCATGCAAGAGGATATGATCCGGGAGATGCCAGTCGATCGGATCAAGCAGGCCCAGGAGGCGGAAGTCTGGATCGCTGGCATGAAGAAATATCTGAGTGGCTCGATCGCAGATCTCACCCAAGCGGAAGCGAGATCGTACGGTAAGATCGCGGCCGATTACGAGGTGGACGAGCAGGATCTACTCTTTTACTGCCCTCCCACGCCGAGATCGAGGGATGATCGTGACCAATTGCTGAGATTGGTTGTCCCCGAAACGCTGCAATCGGAGTCTTACACCACTATCACACTACGTTGGAATGAGGATATCAGGAAGTGGGGCGTACCTACTAGTGGATCAGGGATCACTTCCACTGGAGGGGATTATATCGGAGTGTTCAGCGATATGTGGGGGAATGCGTGGATTGTGAAACAGGAAAAGGAAAACTTGTGTTCCGGGGTGAATCACTGGGGAACTTGCAGGCGACGTACCCGTTCCAGATTATCGCGATGGATCACATACCGTCGCTACCCAAATCTCACAAGGGGAACACAGAATTACTGATCTGGGTCGATCTATTCACGGGGTATGTGATCGCGAAAGCCAGCTCGTCCCGATCGGCCCAGACGGTTGCGGAATCGTACGAAGAGTGTGCATTCCGACGATTTGGTGCCAGAGAGATGATCCGGCATGATCGAGAACCCGGCTTCATGTCCGATTTCGTCCGGTCGTTTAACAAGATCCTGGGACAACGGCAGCGGGCGACGATGGCATATCAGCCACAAGCCAACGGGACTGCAGAAAGAATGGTACAAACCGCGACCCGGGCGCTCCAGATGTATGTTCGCGATCTGGATCAGAAGGATTGGGACGAGTATGCTGAGCGACTTACCTTCGCGATCAACACGGCTCACGATCGGATCCGAGGAGATACCCCCCACTATTTGGTGCATGGGTGGGATCCGAGATCGACGCTGGAGGCTACACTGCCGATCGGATGTACGAGGCGACGAGATCGGGATAGACGCGCGGCGGTGGCATTATCGGGTCCAGAGATATTATCAGCAGTACTGAGAACAAGTCAATGTCAGATTGAAGGAGGCCATTGCAGATCGGGCCGGCCGACACAACGAGGACATCGGATCGCACCAGAAGGCCGAATCTCGCATCTGGTTATACCTAGATCGGGTGAAGGAAGGATACGAGCGCAAATTGGCCCATGCCACAGGTGGGTCAATTTCCGACTCGCCGAAAAGATCAACGAATTCAGCGTCTAGCTCAAGATCGCAGGTACCGGGTACCAGATCTTCCCAGTAGTGCACGTGGCGAAGTTGAAAGTGGTCAAGGATTTTCCGGATCGGCCGCGAGTAGAACTAACAGTGGATGAGACGGATCGTCTCGATTTCGATGAGATCCTGCTTCCGGAGGACAGTTGGGTCCCAGATCTCGGGGCCGATGAGTACGAAGTCGAGCGGATCTCCGATATGCGGAGTGGGAAGAAGACGCGATTTGGTCGGATTTACCGAGAACTCCTGGTGCATTGGGCAGTATATTATGAGCCAACCTGGGTCGACGAAGCCGATCTCAACTCCTTCCTGCGGGAACGGGCTAATCGGAACCTCTACAATGTGATGCAATCACATGAGAAGATGTAAGAAGGACGGGGTGAGGTTATCTGATCGTCTCGACCTCGAGGGAATACCGGTCAGATATGACCGAGATCAGGAGTTCATGTTGTATATGTACACATGTGCATATAGAAGCCTTCGCAAGAGATCACGGAAGGAATGATGAGTCGGAAGAGAGATCACTTAGGAATGGCGACGAAAAGAGCAAACAAGCAGATATGTGGCTGAAATTAGGAGATTACGAGATCGGCAAGGAGGAAGCGCGATCCCGGGTAGGGATCCCGGAAGTTGGCATCAAGTGGAAGCAAGATCGACGATCAAGGGGCCGCCGGAGGGTTGAACTTGTTCACGAGACAAGAGATCTGTAGCGACGGGTGAGCGGAACCGGGATCTCGATAATGGTTTCGCCAAGAAATCCGCTTGATCGCACTCGAACAGGGCCGTGATCAGGTCGGTCGGTTCAGGGAGATTCGCCGTCGGCTGCGCAAGATTGGCCGCGCGGGAGACCGATCCAGGATATCAACGTACCCAATCCCGGGTAGTCGCAGGAGAAGGAAATAGGGATCCAGCAGGACGTCGATATCGGCCCACTGAGCCCTCATCATTAGCACACACTCCCCCAACAATTTCCGCCAACTTTCTCCAGCGCGGATGCGTCGCTGACGTCGACCCTGATGGTAGACAAGAAGATCTGGGTCCACGGCGGCATCGCTTTCGTGATCTCGAGGTAATGGGTTGATTCCCAATACGCTATCAGATGATCCTCTTCCAGCGCGGCATACGATACGGCGATC